CATAAACCCGTTAAAACCATCACTGTCAAACTTTTTTCTTTTCAACATTAAGTTTTTGAAATAGTACAATGCTCTCAATACCAAAATTACAGCTTGTGCATTAACAGAGAAAAAAAACAAAACATTGTGGTTGACAAGAAAAAGCAATAAAAATCAAAACAGATAAATGAATATTCAACATTTTATTTATAAGGCAAATAAGATCTTATTTATATTGAAAAAACTCTCATAACAACCTTTCCCTTTACTATAACACAAATATCATGTGTTGTCCCCTCACCTCTTTCCCTTTACTTGCCTAAAAAGAAAACCAATATTAGCATAACATAAAACAAAAAGACATAAAACAAAAAACAAGAATAAATAATTAGGCATAACACAAAAATATAAACAAAACGTATGATCATTTACTTGACTCCCTCTACTTTTAAAATGTCCGCATCTCCTATGCCTTGCCATATTCAGTCTTTCATTGTCATAGTATCCATACATACATAATCACCTAAACTTTCTTTTACACAGTTCATGATTATCCACCAAACTTTCACTTCACTATTTTCTATCTTGGACAACCCCCTATACATCATCATTTCCAATGTTAATTCATCCACTCACTAACTTCCCTATTTATTTCCTGCCTTGCAAATGAACTCTCCTAAAATATATGGGCTACATTCTCCACCCTTCTACACTCTGCCTTCGGACAGACCTTATTATTAACTAACCTTAGGCTGGTCATAGACTATGGGGTTCATTTATAAAATCTCATTTACATGGATCCCCTTTACACTGCACTAGCCCCCCTAGATGGCAGTAACGAGTAAAGGAAATTCCTATTTTCATCAGCACCATCTATACTTGTCAACGCCATCTAGGGGCACTAGTGTGAATTGCATCCACTCGCCGTAAATTAACTTTTATAAGTGAATACTTCTAAAAGCTGAGAGTCCTTACTGGGCTTATCATGTAAGTAGTACAGTTTTGATGAATGAAAAAAAACTCTTGATTCCCCCATTTACCCTGCTCTATTGTATTCTGACTGCAGCAGGTGTGCTACTGTCAGAATACCCAAAAATTGATTAGCTGCAGTCACTGTTTGACTAAGATTTTTCAGACTGGCTCCTTCGACAGGAGATGATGGAAAAATCGACTTTTCTACAAGGGAGGGTCCCAACCGGGCCACACATTGGCTGAATTTCGACCAATGTCCAGTTGGCCGGCTTTACAATGCAATACCCTGGCTGAGGTTTCACGCCTCTTCCCCAATGCCTTCTCACACTGTGCTTCATTCAGTCCTCCAATCATTTCAGTTGATTTTCTCTGTTCTAAAACATTCATCACCTTCTTCTCACACCACATTTGTCTAAGCCAGGGCTGGGCAACTCTGGCCCTCCATCTGTTGTGGAACTATAAGTCCTATGAGGCATTGCAAGCCTGACAGTTACAGGCATGACTCCCAGAGGTAGAGACATGTTGGGGTTTGTAGGTCAAGCCCAGCTGGAGGGCTGGAATTGCCGACCCCTGGGCTTGACACTTTATACTCTATATGGCCAAAGTTTGTGGACCGCTGACCATCATATATATAAGAACTAGCTGGACATACGATTCCAAAGCCATGGGCGTTAATATGGATTTGATCTTTCCTCTTCTGACTTTCCACAAGATCTTGGAGTGTGTCTGTGGGAACTGACATTGAGGCCACGTTAACACCATCTCCAGTGCATTCCAGCACATTTCGCTGCTGGAATGCATTGGATCACATACTGTTTGGCTCCCTGCGTTCTGGGGCGGGTGGGGGCGTGGCGGTGCATTCAAGTCAATGGCACCGCAGCCACAGCCCCTGCCCGCAGTGCGATCACCCGCACCAGAACGCATGGCACAGCAATGCCCCTGTTCCTGTCCAGTGCAATCACAAAAATAGTACAAGCCACCCAGTGAAAAGAGTGTTATAATTTTGGGGATTACCAGCTAATAAAACAGAAAACTAAATTCCTCCAGCACCATACACAAACCACTCATGTCTATTGGTATATGCTTAAACACAAAAAAATCTGAAATAAAATTCCTCCATACTCAACATAAATGTGAAGGCACTGCCCTTGCCAAACCTCCTTTATTACCATATGGCAGCACATAAGGCCAATTTGGGTCTTTGAGCTCCCAAATGAGATTACAATCCTGCAAACAGAAGTTATTACATGGATACATTGAAAGTGGTTTAGACGCAGCCGGGGGACCTTAAGTGGAGTCAATGCTCCTCTCATTTGAACAGGAGACTCTCAGCCTCATCACAATATAAGAAAGAAGACCTTGAAAAAAAAAAAAAAACTTTCACATTTTGTTAGACAATTTTTCACTGGCCTTTGCTGTCCATCCTGATCTCAGGAGCTCCTACTTTCCGACCCACAACATGTCTAGTTGAGTTCTGTTTGCTTTTACTTTCCTTTGGGCCATTTGCAATAATTCATAACATTCTGGAGAATGCCCAACCTGTCCGGAACTTGCCGAGGATTATACAGACAAATTCATGACTTGCTGGGGGCTTAAGGAAACCTCAATTTTTCTCTTAAGAGTGTCCTGGCTTTGGTCCAGCTCCACAGCTCTAATTGGGCCTCCCTCCTCTATTCTGCCTCCTCACACTCCACCACCGTAGTAGAGGATCCTTCGCCCAATTTGGCATCATTGGGTTCAGGGCCTGGCCGAATTTCCAGTTGTTCTCCAGATTTTGCCAAAAAGCCAACCTTCACCACTGCCTTTTTGGCTTCTGTAGTACTACCACCCTGCTTGATGTCCTTTGATACATTCACGTAAGAAACCTTCTGCAGTCTTGTTCCCTGGTGTGAAGCAGCTTCTGCAGTCCTGCCTGATCTCACACTATTCTTTTGTATGCCTGAAGGCAAAACAATGACAGCAAAAAAGAGACTGCCCAGGGTACTTCTATTGTTTTCAATGAAAAATGCCTGGGGAGGGTGGGGTATTCCATCCTGGCCAGACTTGAATTGCACCCAAAACTTCTGCTGGCCATTAAAAGTAAAAAAACGCAATAACAAAAACAATCATTCATCCTCAAACTAAGGAGGATCATTGGAGCATTAAAAAGGGGAACCTGGCGTATTTAATCATTTTACTAGATACAAAGTTAAAAAAATATTCCTCTATTAAGGTCTAAAAGAATAAAAACCTTTTATAAATTGACAATATTGTCACTGATCTTGTAAATTAGCGAGAAGATATAGTGTGGACGGCGTACACAATAGTTTACCAACAAGGGTATTCCAATGCCAATTCCATACACTGGTCAAAATGAGAGAAGTATATGGCCCATTTCAAACCCCTCCATTGACAATAAGCAATGTCTCAATCAGCTGCAGTCATTGTTTGGGCAATATCTCATCTCCCGTAAAAGAACCCAGGGCATTCCTTAACCCACAATCAAAATATCTAGGTTTCATGCCCCACTATTTCCTGCCCCCCTTCTTTGAAGACCCTGTCCTCCTTTGCTCCTTTGTTGTTTTTACACTTGTTTGCATACATATCTTTTGGTACAATCACATGTCTTCAGTTATGCTTTTGTGCACATGTTATAAGGCAAAGGTAGCTCTCTTAGGTTCAGAATAACTTGCCATATTATGCTGGGTGCATATGAGTGTATGCATAAAGTCACTCGCACTCCAGTAGAATTTCAAGTCAAAAATGGTTTATTGACTCGATTGCTATCACATCATGTGATAGCAATCGAGTCAATAAACCGTTTTTGACTTGAAATTCTTATCTTGGGATGCAGAGGCATCTGCAGTCACTTTGGCACCCACCTAGCTCAAAGGGTATTATTCGGTCAGGAGTGTGATGGGTACATTGGATTTTGGGTGCATATGAGGACCCCTCCAGTGCTGAACCCTCCTGGTAGCGTAGCAGCCAACAGCAGAGGGTACACCCTTAGGAAACTCCCCCAAGCCCAGTGAGACTGGTACCAGGGATACCTTTTTGGCATTGACACTTGGCCCTCACCCAAAAGCAGAGAAACTCCCTTTTCCCACACAGCAGTGTAATTTTCCCACTTGGCAACAAGTCCACATGGTGACTTATATTGTATTGCATAAAATGTTCCTGAATCATCCCCTGCCCGGTGAAATAAAACAGAATTCTTGAGTTTTATGACCTCTTTGTAAGTCGATGTGATCACATTTCCAGCAGTGCCATTCTATCTGCTTGCTGTCACTGGAAAGGTAAGGTGCAGACAGGCACATTAACCCTCAGATCTTAGAATCCAGACAATCCAATAGAATCCCAACCTTCCTCGAGAGCCCGCTGCATAATAAATGAGTTCTTTTTATACCTTTTAATTATCTCTTGTGACAAAGGATTTCAATTCTCCCTCCTGTTTTCTTGTTTCCAGAGCAAGGCTGACTTTTACAGTAGTGTCTTTTGTTGCTTTTTGGAGGGAATTAGCCTGACCATTGCTACAGCTAAGGAATGACTCAGCCCAGATGTTGCTGAGCTATGGTACTCAGGACAGTACATAATTGTGTATGATGGGACAAGAAATGCCATGACTTGAGTAATGAATAGTAATATTGGATCCAACTTGCCAATAGAGCAGGTAGTCACAAATGAATTCAGAGTTTGTATTTGTATACGTAAAACTCATACATATGATATATAAATATGAAATATTGTTTTAGTCCAATAAAAACGGTATCATTGCATACTGCAATACTCCATTTTTTTTTTTTGCATCTTGTCTACTGGACTAATACGGCTTACCCATTTATATATGTATATATTAAGATTAGAACAAAGCATCTGTAATGTGATGAATAAACTAATTTACATAACACCTACAGTTTGCACAAGTATATACGACAGTTATATGACACGTGCTCCATATCAATAACTTCAAAGAGACAGCTAACACAATTGCATCTCTCCATATCAATAGATAACATTCATTAGTTACTCCCCTTCCCCAAGAAATCACCAGATCATAAAATAAGAAGAGTTTATTGAATAAAACTCCTATAGTTTAGGAAGTTTTTGACACAAAAACAACACAGTAACTTTGGCATTACACAATCTTTGTACCAGTTGTACAAAACTAAAAAAACATCTCAGCAAAAGAGTTTTATTACAAAAATGGGTCATTTCTAAGTTTATTTTTTAAGAATAAAAAAGTCCTCATATATAGAAATAAATATATTTGTTCAGGTTTTCTGTAAGGCAAGGTCCCATAAAACGGAACCAATAAATAAAAAATAAAGTCTGATTACAAAGTGTGGTCAGTTCACCAGGGCCTCCATACAGACTCCATGCTATCAGGTCCACTGCTGCCACCTAGAGGGCTCACTGTTCGGGGCATGTGTGGCATCTTGTGAGGAAAGGTGGTGAGTCCTTGGACCGGGGATTGTGACTGTGGTGCTCCACTGGAGGTGATATTTCCATTGGCATAGAGGGGAATAACTGGTCCTGGGCTGGAGGCATAGGCAGGGTTGGGGATTAGAAAGGCATATTGGCCATCAGTTGCTGGCAACAGCTGGAAGCCTCCCTGGAACACTTTGGGAGACAAAGACTCGGCTGAGGTCATCTTGCAAGGCATTGGCACTGGAGCAGTGGCCACTGGTGCTGAGGGCAACTGGACATGCAGAGGCTGACTGGAAGCAGACTGCTGATAATTCATAGCCACGATCTGGCCTAGGCAACCAGAGAGATGACCAAGTAGCCGGGTCCTGACTTCAGTGTTGACCCCTTCGCAGGTGGAGAGGAATCGGGTCACTTCGTTCATGCACTCATTGAATCCTGCTCTGTATTTGCCGAGCACTGAGGGATCAGCTGTTAGTGCAGCTACAGGAGAAATAAAGAACATTACATTAGGAGCTGTGACCAAGCAACGTGATTATGAACGATCTCACTAAAGTACTAGCATTGATCACTCAACACTTGCTTCAAACAAAAGCTGCTGAATCAATTCAATTCTACATAATCTAGAATAGGCAAATCATGACTCTATTAAACTCTGAACATAAAAACATAAATTCACAATAAAATATTTAGTGCTGTGAGCTTCTGCTATCGAACAACTGCAAGTTCCAGCATGCCTGCCCTGTGATAGACAATACCTGACTGAATTTAAGAGCAAATCAGCTTCAGAGACCCTGCCAGCCCCTACATCATCCATCAATAGCAATCATTGTGAGAATATAAAGAGCCTCAGATATGTACCTGTAACGGTTTCTCAAGGCTTCACTACAATGAAAGCTCGAAAAAACACATCAACACTATGAAGTGAATTTTTTTACTTAAAAATATTCCCAGCGCTGTAACCTGGCCATAATTGGATACATTGGTGTTGACGAAACATTTAAAAGAAATAAATATGATGTTTTATTGCCTTGTCTTGGATGAGTAAACAACACCAGCCAATGGCTGCTCTAGAGATGGCATTCAGTCTGGCTGATGTATGGAAACATATGTTTGTTTATAAACAAACAAAATACAACGTAACAAAGAATAACTGTCATAAAAGAGAAGAATAATATCAATATAAACTGATCAACAGTTATCTGCATGCCTGGGAAAAGAAAGAAAGAAAGGAGGGAAAGGAAAAATGGAAGAAAGAAAGGAGAGAAAGAAAGAAAGGAGGGAGGAAGGAAAGAGGGAGGGAAAGGAAAGAGGAAGGGAAGGAGGGAGGAAGGAAAGAGGGAGGGAAAGGAAAGGGAGAAAGAAAGGAAGGAAGGAGGGAGGAAGGAATGAAGGAAAGAGAAATAAAAATTTAAAAAAAAAAAGACTATCTTTCTTTACTGTGCATTTTCCCGACACGTATGGAAGCTGCAGCTGCTCAGTTATCAGCAGACGATGTTGTTGTCTATAGCAACGAATGAGATGATTGATGTGACCTCTGCGGGGTGAGGGGTGCTACAAGTCACGTCTCCGGTTTTTCAGAAATCCGTGCCACTATTTGAAATATCTTCCGTGCTACTAATAAGAATGTTCCTGGCTCCATTTCATATACAGATCGTGTGATTTGTGTCTTGTGACAGTCAAATGTGATCTATAAATCGTGGCAGGATCTCTGCCCAGACAGGGCTGTCGGTCATCGTTCTGCATCACAGAATTTTGGCTGGTTGAAGCAGCTCCCCCTGGCTGACTGTGAATCGTGCAGACAGCTTGATATGTGTGCAGCCGACTCCCCCCCCCAAATTACAAATATAGGAACCAGCCTGCACCTGGGACGACCTGCTGGGAGGGAATATACCAGCCAAACAGACACACTTTCCCAAATACGCCATTTACATCTCATTAGCACGCTGACACCTTCTGAGCCATCGCTAACATTTTCATATTCTTAATTACCCCAGCACCTTTCTTTCTGGAGATGATAGGTGTGATAATTAAGGGAGGGGGGGGGGGTAATGTGTGAGGAGTGCGGAACAAACGTAGTCTGGTTTCTGTTGCCTATAGCAACTGATGCTATTCCTTTTTTCCTGAACTCTGATTGGCCGTTGCAAGGATATGCAGTTTTTCCTAGAACAAATAGAGTGGTCTACTTGCGCGCTACGCTAATGCAAGTGTGTCACGCCATGCGCGTTAACGTGCGTTCAATGAAGGCTTCTGGCGCACCAAATGTCCCAAAATGTTTGCACGATGGCGTGTTGTCGCGTTTCACATCTGGCGCACTATTTAAAATAAATTGCATTGCAACGTATCATCGCCTGCTTGTTGCGTTATATGTGCGTTCCTGCAACGCATAGATGTAAATCAGCGCTTATACATATTTATATTTCAGCTGTGGGACCAAAAGTCCCAGCAGTGATCACACTTGATGTGTGACATATGGCGGCCTGGTACAATTTTATCTCACTGTTGTTACCATGTAAAGCAAAAAGAACAAAAAAACGGCATATATGTTCCAATTAAGGGGGGGGAAAATCATCAGAATCGTACATTTCCTTCTCAGTTTTTATAGGAACTACAAGTCCCAGCTTGCCCTAGGCGCTGGCATGCATCGACTTGTAGTTCCCCCATCATCTGGCATCGAGCCCTGTAAACTAAGCACACGGGGATTGCGTTCACAGTACACCGCGGTGTTCGCTCGCTGACTGTCTGCCTGTGTGACTCCTCGGAGATTAGAGTGGCGTGGGCATGTGAAGCACGCAGTGTGCGCACAGCTCGGGGAGCCGATCGCACAGGCGGCCGACAGACACGCGAAGAGG